CAGGGGGGAGTGTGCAGAGCAGGCGGCTGGCTCCCGTGGGCAGGGCGGCTGCGGCGGAAAGCAGGTGGGGCAGCTAATGGAGAGCCTTCGGGGGGAGGCTGAGCAACTGCCCAATGCAGTAAATATCAGTGAGGTCGAACTAATGGGAGACTCACATAATGTAACTGAATCTACAACCGTGATGTGCACAGAGAATGTACCTACTTCACTTGGTCAAAAAGGAGCACGGGCCTCCTGCCCGAGTCTCCGGCCGTCCTCGGGTGGAGTGCCTTCCGTGTGCCAGACACTGTTACTGCACTGAATTCTCCTAACGATCCTGGGAAAGAAACACTGTCCCATTCATGGTGGGTTTTCTGTCCCATTCATTTTACAGAGAGGTCAACTATGTGTCCGAGATCAAGCACTCTGCCCAGTGTCACAGGAATGGTAATCTGTAGACCCAGAATTTGAATCCTAGTCTAACAGAAAAATTTATGCTGTTTCCACTAAACCCCATAAATGACATGATGTGCTGCAATTTATTGAATCTAAAATATCAGCGTAGGCTGCTCTAACATTGTACGTTCCACTAAAAGAGAGACACACTGCCAATTACACCATCACATATGCCACACCACTTATTTGTAAGACAAATCCTGATTTCTGAGATGTCAAAATGGGGAAAAAACACAGGCATCTTAGAATAATGAATGAAATCTGGTGAATACTATTTAAGGAAGATGATCTGAGCAGCTGTGTAGAGTCTGGACCAGAACATGAAAACACCCAGGGGAAGGAAAGGTTGGGAAAAGGTTGCCATAGTCATTCAGCTGTTAAGAAAAGGAAGCCTGAGTGACATGGGAAGCCTGGTGACATGGGAAGAAAAGGCGAACTTCTAAGAAACACACCGGCAAAGGTAAGGGGAAAGTAAGTGCCCTTGCTGAACACTGGCAAATCAAGTAACATATAATTAAACACCTTGTCTTTTACTGAAGCCATGTGTGCTCTCTACTCGGAGTGGGGTTGATATCTTTCCACTCAGTTGTTTCCATCTCTGATCATTCAACCTACATATATTACACACAGAACTGAAGCTCCCATGATCAGAGAGTCTGGTGCATTTTCATTATGTATCTTAGTTTCAATGAAAAAATAAAAGGAAATACTAGAAAACGGCCTGTCACACAGGCATATAGATAAAGTTATGTGGCCTAGCTTAAAATGTAACTCTATATCCTATCAATTTAGTTTAATAAAGATTTAACTAAATAGCCTACTATGTGCCGGATACTTGACTGACTCTTGGGAAAAGATTAACACAATAAAGACAATAAGCGAGCCAATACACGAGTAAACGGGAAAAAGATACAACACTGATACATGCAACGCAAAGAATAAAATAGGGCAACGTAAAAGAGTACCCAAGATTGGGTCACCAGGGAAGTGACATTTCAGTGGAGACCTGAAGGACAGTAAGAAGGTGAGGAGGTGAGCCATTCCTACAGAGACAAAACATCCAGGGCAAAATCCTTAAGTGGGAATGGGCTTGAAGTGTTCAAGGAACCACATGGAGGACACGGAGCTGCAGGGCAGTGGGCAAGAGGAGAGGGCGTGACTTACGGTCAGATGGGAAGGCTTTGGGGACAAGCAGGACTTAGAAGGTGATGCAGGGGAAGAACCAGACTGAAAAACATTGCAGATGGAGAACATCAGCAAAGGCAAGAGGCATGCAACAGATCAGGATGTTTGAGTAACTCAAGGAAATTCATTTCTCCTGGGCTTACTGTACAACCAAGGATGGAATCCAGACTACTGTGGGGGTAAACTGGTTTTTTCATGAAGCTTCTGGCACCATATCTTGTTGCAGTTGAAAAGAGAACCATCTCTCTAGAAAACATATCCTCATGGAGATCTATAATCAACCTACCAGAAAAGACCATACCAAAATGTATATTCTTAGAAGGCACCGTTTATTTTTTGAGCTCCTGCTAAGCTTAGACTCTGGAAAGCAAATGAACCATGCATATTTTACTCTTAGCACAACCTCAGACCTGTAAGCTGTCACCATCTCCATTTTAGACACCAAACTGAAGGCCTGGCGGGTTGTCCCTTGGACAGCTGGGGCTCAGTTCCATGTCTGCTTTGCCCAACGCTGTTTCCACTGCTGTCCAGCATCTCATCAACTGAGTCACTGAACCTGTCTAGAACGATCCTTGCCATCAATTTATTCTACGACCCTGGCTTGCTATAGTTTTCCTTTGGCTTTATCTGTCTTCTATGCCTGCCTGTAATTTAGAAAATATACTTCTTTATTTTTCTCCTTAGTCAATCCTAATCAATACCATGTTTTACGGAAGCTGTTCTGTAGTTCAAAGACTTCCTCCCTCTACTGACAAAAATGATGCAACCCCGACCTCCCTCAAAGACGAGATTAATATGCTTGCACGCATTTCTTGCTCTACAGCAACTGAGTCCCCAAGGTTGTCTCTGTCTTTGGGACCTGACAGATCAACATTTTTGTAACAGTTGAGACCCTGTTATCAGCAGATCCAGATTCCTCAAAGAAGGTAATGCTAAATTCACAACGAGCAATTTAATTTAGGTTCATAAGTTATCAAGCAAATGGTACCTTATGAATAACTATTCAATATGTATGTCAATGCCTTGCGGCTGACTGACACTATGCATTGAGATTGAAGTCCTTTGAGACTATTATTTTATGCATCATATTAGAAGGCATCATGAGGTCTACCAAGATAAAATATCTATACAGGAGGAAACAAGGGTGAGATTTTTCTTCCACTAATTGGTGCATTTTGCACTCCTACACCACAAAGCCCTACTACACATTTCCTCACTTAACAATGTAAATATATAGCTAAGATACAGCACTGAAGAATTAAGATGTCCATTATATACAAGGTTGAAAAACTCTGTCTAAATGTTATCTGGTGCCAGAGCCATTTATTTTTGCAATCTCTGGATGTCCAAGAGATGTCCAAGTTTTCAAGCACTTTTCTATTAGATGGCAAAATCAACAGAGTCTACAAATGCCAGGGTTTTCATAAACTTTAGCAATGACATGCGCAGTTACTATCTCTTGAAAGGTTGCTTTAATTTTTTTGGTAAATGGCAAATCCCTGAAATGCTCAGGAAAAGGGACATCCTGCAATGTGAGTAAGACAGAAGACAAGGACTGGCTAGACTGCTAAAAGGAAACACCTGTAAGGAAGTTGGTCCCAATTTTAAGATGCAAAACATTTTTAGAGACCAGAGCTTAGAGGCAGGTGCTCAACAACCTTCACCTTTTTCATAAGAGTGGAAACTGTCAAAAAAGCAAATAAACATGGTTTGAAGGAAGACAAGCCAATAACAGGCAGGGAGGGTCCAAGAGACAGAGCATAAAAGTGCAAAACATGAAAAGTGGCCCTAGCAGGTTTTGCTCAGTGATTAGTGTTGGCCCTCAGAATGAAGGGTCTTAGGTTTGATTCTGGTCAAGGGCACGTAACTTGGTTGCAGGTTTGATTCCCAGCCCCGGTCAGGGTGAGCTGGGGAGGAACCAATCAATGTGTCTCTCTCACATTGATGTTTCCCTTTCTCTCCCTCCCTCCAGCCCTTCCTCCTTCCCTCTCTCTCTGAAAAGCAATGGAAAAAATATCCTCAGTGAGGATTAAAAAAACCCCAAAAGCCATGAAAAATGACTAAATATTTTATCTCAATTTTCCAGTGTTTCTTTCGACCCACACTTACAGGAATGACATTTTTAGGGGTTAAAATTTGTCTTTTATAGCACGTAAGTTGTGACAAGAAACAAACACAATATTAGTTATTTAGCTGACATAATTAAAAATGAAATGAATATCAGAGTTACCTGAAATTCTAATCCATAATTTTCTCTGCAGAATTCTCTCAATTTAGGATACACATTTTCTCTTAGTGCCTGTCTTTCTGCTCCCGTGTCTGTGATAGGAAAAAAAAAACACACATAGAAAGTGAATTATGTCCACATATACACACTTCTGGAAAAAAATGAAAGCTTACACATAAACATTGACATTAGTATAATCAAGTTGGGGTGCTGCACAGTGAATTGATGGGGGGAGACCTGCTCTTAACTGAGCAGGGGGAGCAGAGGTCCTCTACCAGGTACACACGAGAAACCCCCAGGATGGAGGGGAGCCCCACTGCTCACTTGTGTGTGTGCTGGCAGAACTGAGAGTTCACAGTTGATTCTTGTTTTTAAATTCTCACCTGAGGACATGCTTTCACTGATTTTAGAGCGGAAGGAAGGGAGAGAGAAACACAGACATGAGAGTGAAACATCGATCGGTTGCCTCCCGTACATCCCTGACCAGGGACTGAACATGCAACCTGGGTGTGTGCTCTGCCTGGGGGTCAAACCACGGCCTGTCGGTGCCCGAGACGACGCCCACCCGAGCCCAGGGCCACAGTGGGTTCATCACGCCCACGTGAACCCTCACGTGGAGCTCTTCAACAGCCACAACCCCACTGTCTTTGGACAAGGCAGAAGAAAAAATTGTAGGGCTACCAGGCGTTTTAGCCCCAATAAGTTTCAAAACATACACACACACACAGACATTAATTTAGTTTCTGACTTTCAGAAAATCCAAACTCTATCACCGTTTCCTATAGTATTTAGAAATATTATGACTTTTATAAAATTTAGGACAGCATCCATGCAATCATCACGATAATTAGAGAGGCAAATTGTGGGAGCCAACACCCCAAACTAGCAGATTCCACACACTGTACATTAAACGACCAACAGTTTAACAGAGTAACACCTCCCGCCTTGGGCTTAGGGACTTCTGCTGTATCAGAGAGGGGACTGTTTTACAGGTGCCACACTGTGTCAGAGCTTTGAAATAAAGTATTTTTTATTTTCCATGTCATCAAAAACTGCAAGAAGAAACAGAGACCCTGAAACCAGAAGAACCACAGACTATGTATGTTCTTAATGTTGAACATTTGCACAGAAAGGGATTCCAAAGCAACCCACGCAGGGCGATGCTCTGCATCAATGACAGTGTAAGATTCTCACAGCAGAGGGGCTCCTCCTGGCCCAAGAAACTTTTAAAAATGAGGTTAATGTGTTATCTCATGAAAAGCACCATTTGCTCAATACACTTCAATCCCGGCCGTAACAAGGAAACATTTGCCTGCCACATTTATAACTAAGGAACCAATTTAGAAGAATTTCCTTGTTATTCTCAAGCACATCTGTCCGTGCAAAACTGACCATATGCTGTGTTGACCTGCTCCACTTTCCTGCTGTTCGGAAGCCTGGTTTGAGATGTAAATAACCAGTCTCCAGAGTCTGAAATGCAGCTGCAGCCTGACAGAGCGACAGGAACCAGTGTTTACATGGAAACCGAAGATTCAATACAAGGTCTTCAAGATTACCCTGTAATCCACCCAAAAAGAGTCTTTCTAACAGTAGATCCAACATGGACCTAAGTTCAAAGGAAAGCGGGCAGGCCAAGCTGAGGAGTGGTACGTTTGAGCTGTGCCCGCATGCTGTTATGGCGCTGGTGGAGGAGCTATATTAAGCTTTTGTGTGTTTTAAAAAAATTTTATTTATTGATTTGGGGGGGCAGAGAAGGAGGGAGGGAGAGGAAGAGAGGGATAGGGGGGAAGAGACACTGATTTGTTGTTCCACGTATTTACGCATAATTTGGCTGCTTCTTGTATGTGCCCTGACCTGGGATCAAAACTGCAACCTTAAAAAACAAAACAAAACAAAACAAAACAAAACAAAAAAACTGCAACCTTGGTGTATCAGGACAATGCTCTAATGGCACAGAAAGGGATTCCAAAGCCACCCATGCAGCATCCATGCTTTTATGATTTTATATAATTTATATAATCTTGGGATCCCTCACCTCATTTTAAGGGTTGAAAACACTAACTTCACAATGAAGCTGACAGTACTGAAAAGCACTCTCTGTAAAAGGCTACAGGTGTTTAAACCCAAAATAACCAAAAGGTCACTTTAAAAATAAACAATTATCAGATGTGGAAGTTGAGAATATATTAAACAAGGTTATTGTTAAGATATTCTTTTTAAAATTATCAAAATAGTACATGAAAATATATGAAATGAAGACCAGAAATTGTTTCTTAAAATTTTTATTGTAAGTCTTATTACTAGATACTGAGACCTGAATGGGCAATAGTCAGGAGGGTAAGACAGAAATAAAGTATCTAATTACCAACATTTACTGAGTGCTTACCAGAGTCTAGTTGTGTGCTAAGTAGTTCTACGTGGATTTTCTCAGTCACCTCTGACAACAACCCTATGATATAGGTAAAATTATTATTCTTTATTTTTTATAAGAGGAAAATGAAAAGACAGAGGAGCTAAGAGACTTACCGGAGGTCATATGACCACTAAGTTAGAGAATCTGGATTTGAACCTAATGAACCATGTGTCATAGTTTGCTCTAACCACGGGAAACATGCAACGTGCGAAGACTCCATCTCTGAAAATAAGAAATGCAGCAACTTCCATCCCCTTCTATAATACACCCTTCAACAGCCAACTCCTCAGTAAGTCATCTTTCTCCATCTATCTCTAAACAAATCCCGAATCAGTCCACTTCTCTGCACCTGTGGTTTAAGCCAAACTCATCTCTCATCTGGACTCGCTCTCCGTGTTCCCATACTTGCCCCTTCAGTCCTTTCTCCAGAGAGCAGCCAGACTGATCTTTTAAAAATGTAAATCAGCCCTAGCTGAACAGTGGTTAGAGTGTCAGTCCTCGGACTGAAGGGTCTTGGGTTCGATTCTGGCCAAGGGCACCTACCTCAGTTGCAGGCTCGATCCCCAGTCAGGGCACATGCCGAGGCAACCAATCAATGTGTCGCTCTCACATCAATGTTTCTCTCTCTCCCCCTCCTTCCCTCCCTCCCTTTCATTCTCTCTAAAAAAATCAATGGAAAAAATATGCTAGGGTAAGAAATTAAAAAAAAGAAAGTAAATCATATCATACCACTCTTGTTTAAAACCTTCCAGCAGCTCTTCATGGAGCTTGAAATGAAATCCACACTCCGCACCCTGAATGTTCTCCCTCTCCCCCAGCTCATCTCTGACCACCTTCCCAGTTCATGTCACCCCAGATGGTGTACCTTTGGCTCCAGATTACATTCTCACTTGTGGCCTTGGCTCTAGCTGTGACTTTCTCCCAGAACACGTAGTGCTCTGATCATCTCATGGCATCACCTGTCATTCAAATGTCATCTTGAATGCCACCTCCTCAGAGAGCCCTTTTCCGAGCCCTCAATCTATCGCACTGCTGTCTCTTATGTCATTTAAATTCTTTGCACATCACTGCTGTTGGTATTTACCTGCTTACTATCTGTCTCCCCCAATGCAATCTGAACTCAGAGAGAGCCAGGACCTCCTTTTGTCTCATTCACTGCTGCATCCCCTGCTCAATTAAGGAATGCGTGAATGGGAAAGCCACCCGGGCACCAGTGATGAAAATGAGCTGACAGGCGATGCTTTCCTGTAATGATCTCCAGAAAGAGAAAGGCTGCCTACATTATAATGTGTCACTGTAAAGATACAGAATCAAGACTAAGTGAAATGCTAGAAAATAAAGCCATGGGATTTACAAAGTTGGTTTCATGAGGTAAGTGAATAGATTGAAATACTGAGTTCTTTTGTGGTTTGTGTGTTTCTGGCAGAAGACTAATACATTTTACCAAGTTACAGTGAACCTTTCTAAGAATGTGAAGGGAGCCTATGCACGTATGTGAAAGGAATTCCGTGTTACTAATAATATTACAAAAGTGACTCAGATTGTCCCTTCTATTTTAATAGATAATGATTGGTTCAGGAAATGAAACAGTCTTTAAGATAGAATGGATTAATTATGATCAGTGACAGATAAGCTGGCTTTATTATATAAAAAAGCCTGATTCATACTGACAGCAAATCCGGATTTGGCAATTAAAAAACATTAGAATGTCAGGAACAGGAAAAATTAAGTTACAGAATGTCAGACATAAAAAGGGACCTCTTGAAAAAGTATGGATGAGAGACAAGATATGTCATCATTTACTCTTTAGACACAGTCAGTGCATCCATTTGTATCTGCCTAGCTCCTTAGTGCTTTAAGAAAAGGTACATTAACACTCTGGCAGCACAATTAGGTTTTTAAGGAGTTGCTTTCTAAATAATTCCTCAATGATTTCAGAGTTAATGAAGGTCTCTGTGCAGTGTCTGAGTTACCCACAGGAAGAGCATTAGTTGGGGGAGAATTGTTAATCAATACCATTATCCTACTTCAAGAAGGGTTTGGATTAATTCCAAACTTTTATTAAAAATAAAGGTGTCAAAATGATCGTGTTGGATTGCAACCTCTTACTACCATTCCCTCACCCAAAGTTAAGACCATGAACTGTAGATAAAATCTTTTCCTTTTTCGCAGCTCAGGAAATTTATTTAGGATCCACCACACACCCTCTGTTTACAACTGTCATTGCAGCCTGGCCTCCGGGGTTCTATACATTTGCTCTTGCCTGGATTCTCCCTCTTTACCTGGTCCCCTTAGCTAGTCACTCATCTTGACGTCTACCTGGCTTTTGCTGTCGTCGTTTGGGTTGATTTCTTGTTTGGTGGCTTCCCAGAGGCTGTCTCCTCTCCCTCTAAGTCCTCTGTGTCCAACCACCCACAGTCACCCTTCCTTATTTCAATATCACCAAATCCTATCCATTTTATCATAAACATCTTTTGAATTTGTCCACTCTATTTTTGCACTCACCATCTCTAAACCCTGAGAGTTCTCCTTTTTGATTAACAGTTACCTGTCACCCCTCATCACAGACAAAACAAAAGCAAAAACAAATTTGCTCATTAAAGACGCTAGCTGGCATCTGGTGGCCAAGAGGACCAAGGCCAGAATGTTCAGAAGATGTAAATGTGTCTTCTCGCTAAG